TTGCACGTTTATCGAAATTATATATATATATATATATATATATATATATACCATTTAATAAATAAACAGAATATTTTACAAATACGGATATCCACTAAAATAACGTTTGAAGTGATAATTATATATATGTTCGTATATATATATATATATATATATATATATATATATATATATATATATATATATTTAGTTTTGTGCGTAGGATTGAATATCTAAAAATATATATGCATACATAAAACAACTAATCTAATAAGCACATATAATTTATAAACTAATATATATATATATATATATATATATATATATATATAATTTATTATATATTATATATGAGTGGTATGTATATTTATAGTGGAGGAGCTAGTTTAGAATCATATATATTTTTTGAAAGAATGGTAAACTAATATTTGAGACTTAAAAAAAATGCATCAAAATAAATCAAACTATTTGAATGTTTGACCCATTTCATATGTGGTGTGTCTTTAGCAAGTAAATTTTGTGGGCCCGTTCCTCTCCAGTCAGTGTTTGCTAGTACGTGTATACATATCCTTTTTATATATATATATATATATATATATATATATATATATATATATATATATATATATATATATATGAGAGAATAAAATAAAAATTCAGGAACTTATTTTCCCGGCTTCAAGTTTCAAATGTATAATCCGCTCAGCATTCGGATGAACAAATTTCGTCCACAAGACAATCGCACATGCACAAGCATACATACACACAGACACATACACACGCTATTTTTTCATTATTATTATTCACTTTTAATTTACTCAGAAATATTATTTGTTTTCATCAGCTAAATTCACATTTTAAACACTATTTAGTATTTTCTTTGTCTATTTTCAGCCCACCCCCAGATTCACCGTCATAGTTTTGTTTGTGTGTGTGTGTGTTTTTTTTAAATTAAATTTAGGGATTTTCATTGTTCTGGATGTGGTTTACAAATAAAAAGATTAAGAATTTGACTATGGCTGAGGTAAAAACAGTGCAAGAAATTATCACGCCGTTAATAAATGGTCGCATGCCAAAATTAAGTCATCATAATAAACTGAATTCATTAAGATAGGTAATATATTGTTTAAAGATATTATATAAAACGTTTTTTTTATTTTTTACGTCAGTGTGGTTTTAAATTTGTTCTTTTTTACGGACGTTATTGCATGACATAGATTAATGTTTTTTTTTGTTTGTTTTTAAATTGGTATCATCCTATGTAAGGCAGCAAAGCCACTAAGACACAGGCGGTTACAGGGTGTGGAAGAATTAGAAAAGAGAAACATTAATAATGAGCAAGAATAAAGAATAATCCGGATGACATTAGATAGTGATTGACATTGCATTTAAATTTTTGCAAATTAGAGTATGGCGCTGAAAGGGAGCCCCCCCCCTCCAAGCGGGAAGTGTGATAAAAGAAACTGTTAGCATAGAACCTACGGTTGCATCTAGCTTGCTCAACTATAAATTGATGAGATCTCGACGCCAGTCTAGTACCGCGCTTAAATTCAAAAACTCTGGGTACCATAGCGAAAAGCTCATCCGAACAATTACCATAAAAGTATTTGTAGAAAAGATATAGAAAGTAATTGGAAAAGTGACTGAAGCCGAGCCGCTAAATCAGGACCAATGATTATATTGCTGTTTCTATTTTAGATTTAATTAAGGCACTCAAGGGGCACAGAATCATATTTGGCAGCAATAGTCTAAGCATGGACGAATGGTAGACTTAAAGATATGTAAGATTAATTCTGGAGAGAAATAAATATCTCGTACGACACAGAAAACCAACTATTAATTAATATTTATATTATATCCATGACGCCGAGCCCTATGATCAGAAAGTGGACGTCCATACGCTCATACATAATAATAATAATATCTGGCCCCTCGTATTCGAGGATAAACAAGTATTGGGGCGGCTAACCAATCCCTGTTGCAGCCATAGTACGTTATACGCAGGAGAAAGTGTCGTTAGATCCGACGTGCTTAAGAGCTAAGAAGGATCACGCTGATGAAACAAAATCGAACACTGACTTAGAAGTGCAAAAACATCCTAGATTCTCGGAAAATTATATCTGCTCAGTTTCGTATCCAAACGTAAACAATGCAATTTCTAAACAATGGATTTTTATTTATTAATCCGACTCATTTTCATCATTTTAACCGTTATTCTTATCCGATACTCATACTCGAGTAGACCTTCAGTTTAATTATTAAACAGTAAATTTTTTTTATTTCCGTCTCCAGGCCTGAGTATTCGAGAAAAATATCGCAATAGAGAGAGAATGGGCGTGATATATATATATATATATATATATATATATATATATATATATATATATATATATATGTGTGTGTGTGTGTAAAATTCAGAATGTTTGTGTGTGTAACGAATGCACGGCCGCAATTTTCGACCGAAATGCACCAAAATTTACATGCTCCAAGTTAGCGGGAAGGCCAAGACCGTCTTTGCATTTCCCAACTCCCATCGATAGTGGAAATAATCGATTTTTTCATGCTTCTACGGCAATTTTCATATAGTTTGCGGCCATTTTGTACTGGCCAGCGTGAGAGCCAACAGCTGACTGACACGAATGTTAACTAGCATGCTAGCATGCAAGAAAAAATCGATAGCTGCATTCATCACAAGTAGGAAAAATTTAAATCTGCATGGCACTTTACTCCAATTGGCTCATTCGCTTGCTTAAACTCAACGTTGATTCTGATTCTGCAGAACTGGGTTGGGCGTGAAAAAGTATTTGTTGTTAACATTCTTTTTTCATTCGATTTTTCCAGTTACGAGTCCTTTTTTTTTTTTAAGCTGATCGTTTTGTGTTCATTTTGTTTAGTTATTTTTTCGTAACAGATTTAATGTTTAGTATAGAGCTTAGAAAAAAATCGCAGTGTGAGATAGGCAAGAAGTAAGGCATGTAGCAACATCAGCACGGCAAAGGGCACTCCTTTAAAGGCAAGGAAGGGAAAAATATTTTAAGTCAAGTGATAGCGATTGCTGTATGAGTCATACGATTTTTGAATCAAGCACGGGCAACGCCCGGCCATGCTGCTAGTCTTATATATATAATTCTACATATACTTGTGTATCAAAAATATTTTCTCTATCGTATATATTAGAATATTTGTAAATTACACATGAACATAATCTTTAACCGTACGGAAAACCAAATCAGGGAACGTAGTTTATATGCTTTCTCATCAATTTTATATTTGCCAAAGGCATGAATCCAGCCCTCCCTATAGGTCTGATTATCTGTTGCACCTGCCAATCTGTATCATATTACCCAATACGTATTACCAGCGTCCCTTGCTATCCATTAGCCCGGGACACCTTACCACTTGGCTAATAAGAACCAGGTGGTCAGGCATAACCATTCCACGTTTTCATGCAAAAGTTTTCCTGTTAAATATTTCTTGAAGTTCTTCATATCTGCACATAGTTTCATATAAAAACTTAAGCATTGAGAAGATATTTGGAAGGGATTTTTATTAATCCAACAGATTTTATCATTTTAAACATTACTTTTAGTGGATACTCATATTTGAGTAAACGTTCTGTTTATTTATTAAACAGTATATTTATTTATTTTCGCCTAGCGACATGTATATCCGACAAATCTTATCAAAGAAAAAGATGCTATCTCTGATAGGATAGATATAGACATATAATGAACTCCTAAGGGGTGAAATGTGTTACACAAATATCTTTTCCACTTTGTCATGAATTTTTTCCTAAAATATGAGGAGAGAGTAAGAGAGAGAGAGAGAGAGAGAGAGAGAGAGAGAGAGAGAGAGAGATTGTGGAAGAGAAAGAGAGAGGGTGTGTGTATGAGAGACGCATAGAGAGAGAGAGTGTGTGTATTATATATATATATATATATATATATATATATATATTATAAATTATCTGATTTAAAAATATGGTCTCTTCGCTACACAGTAATTACCATGTTTCAAAAACAGAAACTAAAAATTTAATTTAATTATATAATTGAATTTGAAGTTTTTAGCTTCGGTTTTGAAACTTGGTAATTCCTGTATAGCGAAGAAACCATAATTTAAATAAGTTAATTTATAATATGCTCTCTAAATTTACATTAAGCACTGTTTTGTAAAAATAAAAATATCAATAAGAACACCGGGTTATATATCTTACTATTCTTTTTTTTTCTTTTACTATAATATATCTATCTATCTATCTATCTATCTATCTATATATATATATATATATATATATATATATATAAGTGTACATATATTTGTGTATCAAAAAAAAATTTTCTATCGTATATATTTGAATATTTGTAAATTATGCGTGAACATGGCCTAATCTTTGACTGTACGGAATACCAAATCAGGGAACGTCGTTTACATGCTTTCTGATCTATTTTCTATTTGCCAAAGGCATGAATCCACTCCTCCCTGTAAGTCAGACCATCTGTTACACCTGCCTGTCTGTACCAAATAACCCAGTACATATTACATAGCTAACCTATTAACGTCCAACGTTCCATTTTTTAGGACGGTCTCCATTAATGAATTCTAGGTTAGAAACCTTTTTACTTTTAATCAACTCACCCCAGGCAAGGCGAATATGCCACTAAGATGCAACAGGCTACTCTGAGTGAAAGAGAATGAACAAACTTTATAATTAATCGGAAACCCAACCCTAAACAGGAAGCAAGAAATACACCTCTACTCCTGATCAAAAAACCAGGGTGGTGTGTAAACCGGACGATAGATTAACCTACTAAGGAGAAAATAAATAAATATCTCTAGATATAAATTTTCAGTGTTTAGTTAGAGACGTTAGAAGTGTAGAGTTGAAGCGAAAATGAAGGAAATGGAAGCCCAATAGTAAACTGGAAACAAGGAATAAATCTCTAATCTTTTTCAAAAGACTGAGGAGGAGTGTGAAATGATTAAAAATGCCGCCCCTTTACACCACCCGCACATCCGAGCTTACAGCACCTGATATTCTGAAGGGGTCACCCATCTAGTTACTGACCAAGTTCAACGTAGCTTAAATTCGGTGATCGTACGGAAACTAGTGTTTCACCGTGATGTTGCTCTAAGTTGGGTGAGCATTTATTAAATTTATCATACAGGATTTATTAAAAAATATACTTCCGCTTAATAGCAGGAAGTTAGCATTAACGGATTAAACTGTGAAATAACGAAATACCTAGCATATTACCCCGACGAACAAATCAGGCATAGTTCAATATTAGCTGAATTTACTTTAAAAACTGCCAAAGTCGGTATCAATCAATTGGTTTATTATCTCTGGACATCACTTGATTTGTATATTTATTAAATACCAATAACAAAGACTACATTTCGCAAGAAAAATTGTATTCATTTCTATGCTTCGTCGTCTCAGGAGATTTTTGTGGCCTAGCATGTGCTGATTCCTTAAGTTTACGAATTTTCCAATGATGTTCTATGTCTATGATCGTCCTGAGCCGACCAAGCATAGAAATGAATACACTATGGGAACCAGTAATAAAGAGTGCCAGAGAAAAGCGATAACAACAACAAAGATTGCAATATGAGCTCTGGTAAAAAATGCAATGATAACAGCAAAAATTGCAATATGAGTACTGGTAAAAAATGGTTGCTGAAGACATTAGGTCTATAAAACCCAGATATTCATACACAGTTGTCATTAATGGACACATGGAACAGTGGACAAGACGTGAGTTAGATCCAGTAACCCTAAGAGTGTGAGTTCAATACCTGGTTAAAGCGGTGGTGAACTTTGAGAGAGGAATTAACAGGCGATAACTGGCATCCATTAGACATGGAACTAAAACAGTCTACCCCAGTGAGCGAAATAAAGGGTTCAGTTCGACATTTCAAATACTTGAAGAAGGCCGGATCGTAAAAAGGCCGAGACGTTGTGATAAACATGGCGACAAAGATGAGGACAATAGTCCGAATAATGTAAAAATATGTCAACCAGTCTATTTCTGAGAGATATCATTTTTAAGGCAAAGGGTTCTTTGTAAGTAGAGTCCTCAGTAGCAAGCAGTAGCAAATTAATATGACATGAAGTATGTTGAATACCGTCAGAATTTATCTTTCACATTTATAAACCTACCATTTCGTCTGCTCTTTGAATATTGCTGCCATATCTCGTCTGGTGGTCTTCCTATATGTCTCGAAATTCTTGACAAAATTCAAAGTACTCAACATCATCGATATCGAACTGGCATCACGACTTCAGTTATTTTCTAACCGACATAATGTGGTTTCCGTCTGAATTTTCTACAAATGTTTTCATGGCGCCCCGACTGTTCTTGGCGCCCCGACTCCATGAATTTAAGCGTGCTACTAGATTGGCATGTAGGTATCACCGTTTTACTGTTGAACTGGCTAACTGCAACCGTAAGTTCTATTCTAATAGCTTCTTTTCTTGCATTTCCCGTTTGTGGAACTCCCTTCCGATTTCTTGCAGCCCTGCCAACTACAATCTGCCAAAACATTAAATGTAACACCAGCCATCTGGTGTGTTACTGAAACCTGTTCTTTTATTGTCCTTTCTCCTCACTTCTTCTCACTAAAGTCTTTTTATTCACTTTTATACCTAGTAACTTAGCTTGAGGTGTAATGAAAAAAAAATGAATTTGTTGCCATAGAAACACATGCGCCGATATAGACAGAACTACTAATTGTGTTTTCGGTACGCTTTCTCGAGAATTTAATATACAATGTAGATATCTACAAGGATAGCTAAACCATTCTCAGTCAGTTCTATCTTTTTAAATGATGTTCTCCCTACACAAGGCACAAGAGCCAGTCGAGGTAGAGAGTTAAAGAGTAAAAGGCATAGTTTATATTTTAATATGTGAATAAGATAACGGTTAACTGTAGACTTGAACATGTTCAGACTGAAGTGACTGGAGAAGCATCCTCTTGGAAGTAAATCAACCATTCGCCCTTGCATGGAGTATTGCTGCCATATATGGTCTAGAGCCCCTTCTGTTCATCTCAAGGTTCTTGATAAAATCCAGAGACGGATATGCAATATAATTGGCCCTGACCTGGTATCTCGTCTGCAGTTGCTCTCTCACAGACGTGTCGTCGCATCCCTCTGTCTTTTTTACAAATACTTTAACGGTAACTGCTCCGATGGGCTGCTTTCGTTGGTTCCCAGACTTCATGAATTTAAGCGTTCTACTAGGCAGCCATCTCGCTTTCACCCTTTGACTGTCGAAACTGTTAAATTTAGCTGTCTCTTCTACTCCAATAGCTTCATGTCTCGCACTTCTCGCCTGTGGAACTTCCTCCCCATTTCTTGTTTCCCTGATAGCTATAATACCCAACTATTCAAATGTAATGTCAATCGACGTCTCCAGATGCCTTGATCTATTCCCAGCCCTTCTCCCCATCCTTTCCTCTATCACTCCTATTTGGTCTCACTCCAACTCTCTGTAACCCCTAGCGTGCTAGTGGCTTCCCGCCTTGATGAAACGCTTAAAGAAAAAAAAAAGGTTCCACAAAGCAGACTCGTGAGAAGAAGCTGCTCTAGTGGAATTTACATGTCAGCACTTGAATAGGAAAGAAATGAGGGTGGTTCACAATAATGGGAAAGCATCGAAGGTTTGAACGGGTGGAACTAAGGGATATATTTCGCGTGAACATTTTCCATGGAACTAGCGATGAAGCAGTGAGTGGCTTACACCGTTTCGTCTGTAGGAAAGAGGTTTTAGGGTGGAAAATAGTTCATCATCCACAAGGCCGCGGGGGGGGGATTTGGCGACTCTATCGGGAATATAAAGTGAAGGCTTCTCAAAATTTGACCAAAAGGTCAATCATTAGAACATTTTTGAGGGTCGGGCCGAGAATTTTTCAGCGCCTCCTCGTACAGGCCTCGATAAGGGGATTTTATTTATTTATTTATTTTTCTAATGAAATATTTATCTTCTGGCGATGTTTAATATTCCCGAATTATAAGAAATCGACAAATATCAAAACGAGGAAGTTGAGATTTAATAAAATATTAAAGAAATATGCCTCCGATGAAATTGAAAATGTAGCATCCATATAAATTACTGTATTAATGAGAAAAAAGTTTTTGGTTTATCCAGGCTTCCATAGTTCTTCCCCAATAAAATAAATAAATAAATAAATAAAAAAATAAAAAAAACAAAATCAGATACAAACAAAAAGATTATTAATCAGTCTTACATGATATACTGACCGACATTTGAATGTATTTATATGTATATGTCCGCGCTTATACGAGTGTGGGCTGAAAAGTTCAGAGGCTGATTACGAAGGACTGATCCCAGAGCTGTAACATCTAACAGGTATGAATTACATTTCTTCTTATTAATAAATCCATTGTTTATCCCCAGGTATGAGAGTGGACTTAAATGTTCAGAGGCTGACTATGAAGGAGTGATGCCAGGGTTGTGAAATCTTGCATGCATTTATTTCAACTCTTTTTATTAATAAATGCTTTGAGTCGTTCCAGCTAAGCATGGAACAGACTGTCGACTCTGGGTGTTGACTTCAGTATCCACTTTCATATTTACATACCCGATATCCCTGATATTGAACAATTAACCCATAAATATAGCATACCATAAAACTATATTTTATCACACACACACACACACACACACACACACACACACACACACACACACATATATATATATATGTGTGTGTATGAAAAGTGTATATAAATATAAATAAATATATATATGTATAATTATTTATATATTATGTGCGCGGTACTTATTAGAAAGCGCTCAATATCAGAGATAGAGCTAACATATTTGGTTGGATAGATGTGAGTTTGTAACCCTGATCGCTAAAGCGTGAAACCCAGGGTCACAAACTCACATCTATCCAACCATATATATATATATATATATATATATATATATATATATATATATATATATGTGTGTGTGTGTGTGTGTGTGTGTGTGTGTGTGTGTATGTAAGCAAATATATGGATATAGATCCGACAGTATGAAGAAAAATATACGGAAAAAACAAACAAAAATCCTAATAGGCAATTATGCTGTTTTAATATGAATATAATGTCAACGTCGGACGTTTCGGTCTAATAGACCATCTTCAGGACATATTCATAAAACATAATTAACATTAGACTATATTCAATTCAACATGAAAAAGACGATGGCCATAAGAGCATGACCAATCTAAACAGATAACTGAAATATTTATGAATATGTCCTGAAGATGGACTATTAGACCGAAACGTCCGACGTTGACGTTATATTAATATTAAAACAGCATAATTGCATATTAGGATTTTTGTTTGTTTTTTCCGTATATTTTTTCTTCATATATATATATATATATATATATATATATATATATACAATTCAATGAAAACAGACAATTTTAAGGGTCCATTGGCTATAATTTATTTCTCTAGGGAATTTCAAGTCCTGGGTATGATCAGGGGGTTCTGAGGAGCCCGAAAGCTCCTCTTAATTGCTAGTGTTCCCAGCTATGAGCAAATAGTTAACCCTGAAACTGGAGTAAAAACACTATGAAAGTGTAAATATAGGTTTTAATACAAGGAATACTTTGTAAAAATTATTAGCAGTTTTGGAAGAAAAAAAAAAAAAAAACTATTACCAACAATACATTTTTGAAGGAAAAAATATTACCAGAAATAGATTTTTGGAGAAAAAATATTACCAGAAATAGATTTTTGACAAAACAAAATATTACTAGCAATAAAAATTTGTCGGCTTTAAATAACCCATTGAGGTTGATATGCCGTAAAACCAAACCAAACCAAACCAAACCAACCCAAGCCAAAGCTAACTTTCAAGATATATGTTTATTATATAAAACTATTTTCAAGGTTGATGCATAAGCTTTGTGATGAAATGAAAAGGGATATCGTGTTTATGCTTGGGTTCCATTTCCAGCCTCCACCATTTTATAGATGCTGCAGTTATGTTGCATTTATTTCATCATTCGACTTTTACGACAAATAACAAGAGCTCAAAATGAAATCCAACATTTAAATAATGAAATCCCAAAACATAACGCGATACAAAAA